GTCTGTTATTCGCGCTCTTGCCTCTTGTAGGAAAGACGACCATTTGAGAATGTTAGGAAGGTTGAAATCACCACATATATAATAATTCGGTCAAGAAGAGACGATGTCGTAAGAGGAGCAAGTTCAAAGACTGCGAAGGGAAGTCTCGAAAAAACATTCCAACATTTATGCCCACTTAAATTGTCATGTGATACAACAACGCCACTAAATTCAACCGCGCAGACATTCGAACAAAGAGCGAAGAGAGGAGCAGCGGCAGCGGATCGTCTACGTATCCAACATGTGGCGAAAAAACGAGCAGGAAGACTACTGAATTCAAGGAAAAACAATTATTAACTTTATCGATTTGAACGATGCATAGATAAAAGTGTCATGTAGCAGGCATGTGTATCTCTCCGAGAGGGGCGTGTGTTTTGAAATAAAATGTCATTCCGTTTCTCCAAAGTCATGCCCAGCACCTAACCTGCGAACGGGCCATACTCTGAACGAGATTGGACTCTAGCTAGCTGAAGAACACATGCTATAAAATAACAATGCGATTAGTGTAGCAATTATCGGGGGCCGCTTTCTCGTATGCAAAACCATTAATAACACTGTGTTTTGGGGGCACTGCAATAGTCCCAGTAATAATTTGTGACATCAGGAGTTAGAGCAGACAGAGCATGACCATACCCATGGAGCCTTTTACACATTTTGCCCCAGTACTGAAAAATCCTTAAAAATAGGTATGCCAGAGCGTACAAGCGTCTACAATTTAATTCCGTCATGAGAAGGTAGTATTCTAATTAAGGACGCTACGGTTAACTCTCCATTAAAAATTTAATACGTTTCTAGTATTGAGACTATATTTTGTGTTTACACTATAACGGGAGTGGTTTGCCGTAGCGTACTAACTATGGACCACTAAATTTGCCACTCTGAATTGGGAATGCAAATCAATTTCGTTAAAAATTTACTATGTTACTTAGTAAACAATGCCAATGGGCATTGGCCAACCAGAGGTAAGCCATCACACGATTTGCCATTTTTTTTTCAGATTCTTTTCAAAATATTTTCCCTTACTTTTTTCTGCCGAACTTGACCTGGAGAAGTTCCTGTTGGCAAGTCTGTATCACTGCAGCTACTAGCATATATATGCATAGTTTAACTAAGAAGTATACGTCATAGGGCATCAGATCAGGCCATAACTTGGATTCCGAGACAACTGGGTCGAGCACTGAAGGTGCGAGCCTCTAGAGGGGTCTGGGGGCATTCGCCCACCAGAAAATTTTGTATTTCTTGAAGCTCAGATAAGCTATTTCCAGCATTTTGAGGAGTTTTCCAACAAGAAATTAACCTTACACTATAGTCCCTGAATACCAAACCAGCTGATCTTCTGGGACTGGTCAAATCGATCCCTGCAACCATGCTGTTTTATGAACATTTTTTCCCCACCAAATACTGGGGCAGGATATTCCCCCCCCCCAGTTTGTTGGTGCAGGTATTTTTTTTGTTCAGAATAGCCTTGCAGGAATTGTTTTTTCAAAATCACCCCCCCCCCTCAAAAGTTAAATGGTCGGCCCCTTAATTAACTTAGTTATTTAATTTTGACGAGCCTTTTGCAAAATGCTACAATTTTTTTGTTTTGTTGACAACTATAAGTTATAATGTAATTTAATTAAATAATTAAAATTTGTTATTGGCAACTTTAATATTTACACGCACGTCTCAAACGTTTTATTCTCTAAAAATGTAATGAATTAAAAGTAACAATTTTATTTGCAAATTCAATCGTTTAAAACCTAAAAAAGCAACACACTGTTGCAAAGCGGATTATAGTTTTAAATTAAAATTTAAAATGTGTCTAAACATAAACGTTTTAAAATTTTACTGTAACATTCTTTCAAATATTTACATTTGTATCGAGGAAATGAAATCAGCAATATCACAAGATAAACGTTGCTATATTGTTATACAAACCACGGAAGTGTAGCATGGACGTCCGATTTTCACTTTCTGAGACTCCAAAATATGTAAAATTAAACGTATTCTAATTCATATCACAACCATATACCATTGAACAAGATGTTTCGTCAAGCCCAACGCCGAGGGGTAAATTACTCTGAAATTCTTCGTACACTTATCAAAAATCCCCAAAACTCTTTGGAAAAATCTCAAAATCTTACTGAATCATAGAATAAAAATGTCCCAGGAAATCCTGATACTTGCACACTATACCTGCTGATCGTTGTGATCGATCGTAAAATGTACCAAATGTCAAATAAACGATTTTTCGATTATTTTCTCAGCAAAAACAGTTATCCAAACATCATTCACATCCCATCTTTATAAGTTATGAGATGAAATGAGATATTTATTGAACAAATTTATTATACGAGCTGAGTATAGTGAGACCGACAGACCAGTGACTGGACAATTGTTCTTCATTTGTATACTGTGAAATAGTTTCAGAATAACTCATGCATTATTCTATTAAATAATTAAATTAATTTAAATATAAGTTTGTAGAACAGCTGTTAAGTAACTCAAGTTTAAGTTCATTGTCACAGATAAACATGAAATATGTGTAAACGTTTTCTCAACCTAAAACAGTAAATGCAAGCTAAGTCTAAGACCTATAATATTAATATCAAGAGCGGAATGAATCGAAACAGAAAAAAATTATTGTATCAACTTAATATGCATGTGACATTGTGACCATAATCTGTTGAGTTATTGTTAATATGAGTTGACTACTTGAGTGGTTAGTCCTGTTGAAATTATTAAATGACTATTAGCTGACTAAATAAATAAAATAAATTATAAATAGTAAATTATTTCTTTAATACTTTATATAAAACTATATTTGCTGTATTTTACAATGCGCTTCGTTGGTTTACTTCAATTAAAAAAAGTTCGATGGATTATATTGCACTGAAAAAGATTGTGGAAAAAGTTTGGCGGAAAAAAAATAAGGGAAAATATTTTGAAAAGAATTCCTTAAAGGGAAATGGCAATATATTTTTTTATTTTCTCATTTGAAAGAACTTTTGAAACTATTTAATAACTTATTTTACCAATTCTTCATATCTTGCTTAGTTCTAGAAATATTTTCACTTGAAGTAATGAGATGTCAGCCATCTTGGATAAATTTTTGATCTCATTAACGGTAGTTTTGGTGACGTCACAACAGGGATTGACCATATAAAAGTATTCGTTGCTGACCAAATATTGATTGGTAGATGTTTTAAAGGTTTCAAGTGATCTTGATATTTCGAAGGGCAGACAGAGTATAATTTTGAGGGCAAAATGATTAGTGGTTGTCTAGATAGAAATATTTTGTGACTCCTGTTGTGACATAACATGCATATCTACAAAAATCCAAGATGGCGGACATTTCATTTCTTTCGATTAAAATATTTGTAGAAGTAAGCAAGATATGAAAAAACCGGTAACAGAGTTTTATATATGCTTTTTAATGTTCTTTCAAACGAGAAAATAAGAAAATATATTGCCATTTTCCTTTAAATTTTGGGAAAAAATCCCGAGAAAAATTGCCGGGATTTTCTGATCCCAAAAACTTTTGTACGCTTTTTTCAGAGTAATTTACCCCTCGCCCAACGCAACACCCCTGTCATATTTCATATCAGTCCTCTGATATCACTCACGGCTATAAATTAAAACTGGAAATTTTCCGGAAACACGGATTGATGACCGAAAGCTTTTGCTCAACAATATCTATAAGACTATAATGTGCTTCGAAAAAGGGATAAATGCACAAACATCGCCACACTCTGGTGCTGACTTATGCGGCTATACGCTACTGCTTACGCAGTAGACGCAAAACGCCTTGCCTTTTGGGCCATTGAATAGTTTATGTTAAGGCCCTGTGACCTGTCACACTACTGCATATTGTACTAGCGTATGCCAGCGTATGAAATATATCACTCACATGCTCGGTTGGTATACGCTGACATACGCTAGGGGTACGTTAGGCATAGGTTGTATACGTTTCAAGCATTGTCGCATACCGCAGCATACATACGGTGGCATATGGCGAGACAGAAACATTTTTTCAAGCATGCTTAAAAATTTTGAACGTATTCGGACGTATGGTTTATACGATAAGCATACTTTAGGCACACGCTGAATACGCTAGAGGTACGCCAGATGTACTCATACGCTGGTATTTCAAAGGACTTTTGTAATTTTGTGCGTATAGAAATTATTTCATTAAAATCATTAATTTTCATACGCCTCTCATATGTTTCTCTCATATGCAATAGTTTGACAGGGCCTTTACTTAGTATTATATAGAGGTCCAATAAAGTTTCTTTATGCAACAAGCATCGACATCTATAATAATCAACAGTTAATAATACTAGGTACAAAGCACAATAGTCTGGAAAAGGCAAATGATTCTTGTGTGAATATATTAACGGAGGTCACAAAAAATTGCTATGTTTAAAGACTTTAAAGGTCACATCTGCGTATTGTTTCTGTGTCTGTGGTAAATGGATCAGGTAAGCTCGTTGGTTTGTTAATATATTCACGCAAAAATCATTTGCCTTTTCCAGACTATTGCGCTTTGTATATAATATTATTAACTGTTGATGTAAGCGCTTTGGTTTGTTAAGAGATTTCAAAAACTTATTAATAATTTATGAAGCAATTATCCAATCTTGAGTAAGAAATTAGTCATGTGCATATGTCTTTATACCAGCTAAAGAACACTTTAACAAAAGACCATTGTTATGCAAACTACATAAAGATTTTTATATAAAGATTTTTATATAAAGATTTTTATATAAAGATTTTTATATAAAGATTTGACTTATGCAAACGTTTTTGAAGCCATTTAAAAAACTCGCAGGTCGTGTTTTATTAGGTCTATAGCCTGCGAACAGGCTCTCAAGCTGAATTGAGAGCCTGCATCGATGTCTAATGAATTTGAATATCAGCTCCGTAACGTTTGTTTTTCCAAATATGGAATGTCTATCCTTATATGGTGTTGTTTACAACTTTCGTGCAAACTAAATTTAGACCGTGCAAACTAAATTTAGATCGTACAGTTTATACTGTTTTTCGAAATATAAGATATTCAAGCAAAAGTTCAAATATTTTAAACACTGTTTTCTCAAAACAGAACATTTCGTGCTTTGAGATAAGACGGCCAAGACCAATTTGATCAGTTAATGTGTTTTTTATGCATAGTGCTTCAGTAGTTGACATATATAGAGCTCAGCGGAAACATATAAATTATAGCATCTGACCAATGAGAATTTCGCATCACGATTTGAGATGCAGATATTCAAATTCATTAGTCATCGATGCAGGCTCTCAATTCAGCTTGAGAGCCTGTTCGCAGGCTATTAGGTCTAAAGCCACTCACGCTGCACGCTCGTGGCTTAAAACACTCCTGCTCATTTTTTAAATAGTACATAAAACCTTTGCAAAATGAACGGCCAAGTAAATTCAGTCTATAGATAGTTTGGAGTTATAGATTCATTAGAATGCCACCCAACTGTGAAGGAACTAGACGCAGTATTAAATAACAATGTCAATACCTGGTATTCAATACTACAGTAGTTGTGGCATAGGAAAACAATTTAAACCCTTGCAAAGCGTGCCCAATTGAGAGTTAGTGATATATGTATTGCTCTGGCTTGTTTTTTCCTCATCTCTCACTTCACGAAAAGCTTTTTTTTATATAATGTGCATCTTAGAAGATCGCTCAAGCTGTTATATGATATGTTTTGCGTACCCTTCGATTTGATACATTTGCTACAATTAATTAGTGGACAGCCAATCAGAGACGTCCTTCTTCAAGCTGAACCTCTACTGGGCAAGATGAGTGATAACTTCATTTGCACTCCACTCTTTCTGGATCTCTACTGGACTCAAAACGTGCCCCATTTGATATAGTTCTTGTTTTCTAGTCTGCTTTGCCACCACGTTGTCACAGGGTGAAGATAGAAGAATGACTTCTTTTGTACTGAAGCTTGAATGTTGCTGCCCCAGAGTTTTTTAGACTTATTATTACTTGAGCTCTTTCACCTTAAATGAAAAGAGAGTAAAAGGATTTGCATATCAATAGCTCGTTATAGCAGAATTTAAAAACAAAAACATATCACTTATACATTATTAACCTTTTTGAAACTGGAGGGGTGTAGTTTCTGCACATTTGAAACATAGGGTACGTCTTTTGATGCATTACAGCCTGTGTAATTGGCTGTACTGGCGTGGTCAACGTACTAGATTGACTTGTAGTCGTAGAAACATGCGGACCATGCGGTGTCTGCTGTTCTGGCAAGCTATTCATAATTCCTGTTTGTCTAGATGTTCGGAAAATCGACAAAACTTCTGCCTCGATAGCGTTGTGCTGTGTTGAACAATGTGGCTGTTGCGAAGTTCCAGATGCTTCTACAGCTCTGGTCAAGCTACTTCTAAATTCTTCACTCGCCAATATGGCATCAACAATTTTTCCTGCAGTTCCTCCCGCCATTATCGATTCTTAGGATACTGTTTGTTTCATTTACATGAAGTATATGAGGCGTAAAAAAAAATACCTGTGGTTCCGGTTCCCGACCGACCCTATTTTTTCTTCCGACCCTATTATTTTTTCAACGCGATTGACCGTGCGACCCTATTTTCTCCAGGTGGTTGCGGGCTGCTCATACAGCGTGCCAAAATGGCGTCTGTTGTCACAATAATTATTGAACCAAATTGCCTCAATTCGTCCATAGGAAATACGCACCTCTAGTTAATATTGATGTCGGGACTCTACTGCAAATCGCCCAGCAAAAAAACGGCAAAACCATGAAAAAAAATATTCAAAAAAAAATTTATTTCCGACCTACCGACCCTAATTTTTTCACGATATGAAACCGGAACCACAGGTATTTTTTTTTACGTCTGATGAGCAATTATGTATTGAAATTGGCACAAAAATAGACTGAAATTTACACAAAAATGGACTGAAATTTACACAAAAATAGACTGAAATTTACACAAAAATGGACTGAAATTCGCACAAAAATGGACTGAATTTCGTACAAAAATGGACTGAAATTCACACAAAAATGGACTGAAATTCACACAAAAATGGACTGAAATTCACACAAAAATGGACTGAAATTCGCACAAAAATGGACTGAAATTCGCACAAAAATATGCTGAAATTTGCATAAAAATGGACTGAAAATCACAAACTGAAATGGCACAAAAATATACTGAAATTTGCACAAAAATCGATTGAAATCTGCACAAAAACAAACTGAAATTCATGCACAAATTGCGTAAAATAATCTTTTTTAGCATTAATTTCGCTATTCAACATGTGCTGTGTGTATTTCACATGGTGGAATGCATGGTTTTGGCATTTTTGAATTATGAATTAAAAGTTTGAATTATGCAACACATGGCATCTCAAACAAATGACCCCAGAATGCACTGTGATCTCTTTTGAGAAAAGGCTAATTACAGTTAAAGTGAATATACTGACCCATATAGAATCTAAATCCAGGATGACATTTGACATCTTGTTGAAAGAATATTGAGGAAAAATATATCATTTTGGAGGGGAAAAATGCAAAAATTGCAAAAGATGTTATATTTAAATTGTAACAAATTTATTTTCATTCTTTGAGAAAAGTACCAACAAGTAATTCATTATTAACCATTATTTCTTATGTTAAGAATTTGATTTCTTGTTTTAAAAATTTTTTAAAGAAAAATTTGATATGAAGATGATGAAATCGTAAGAAAACATTCATATTTCAAAGAGAATTTTTCTTATTTCAAGAAAAAATGTCTTGCAAATCAAATACTTCTCATTTTAAGAAACGTTTTTCTAATTAAGAAAATTAGTTTCTAATTTTAACAAATATTTTCTTGAAGTATTAAAGAATTATTTTCTCAATAAGAAATGATTTTTTGCTGTGTAGTTGCAGATAATTGGCATATCTACATATATCTGCAATTTTTATGCAGATATTTTGCAGATATTTGGACAGACAATGTACATATCTGCAAATATCTATAACGTTTATGCAGATATTTTGCAGATATTGTAGACCTTGTTGCAGTTGTGCTGCAGTACTGCAACAGATATGTGACAGATACTTGCAGACATTTCACATATATGTCAGTTTGGTAAGGGCACTTTGGATTTATTTTCAATTATTTTATGCAATCCCCTAAGAAAATTAAATACCCCCCCCCCCTTTGAAATTCAGGAACTCAAGCAAGGGATGCACATATTAAAAAAAAGGAATGTATATTGGGGGTGAGCAAAAAGATTTTATATACAATATAAAATGGAATTTCATCCAATTTATCAAGTTCACCTTCTTTATGAAGCATGGCTGCAATACAATGACCGTACCACTTCCATTTAAGGAGGCTTCCTACAGTTTTCAATATATGTCCGTGTTTTAAACTAAAAGCTATTTGAATCTAAAAAGCTATTTGAAACTAATTTTTTGCACAAGCCATTGTTTCCTCTTATTGTCTAGGACCTGTATATGAGTTTGTATGCATTTCATTTAGGACAGATAATCTCAACTGTTTTAGGGTAAGTTGACCATGACGGTCAACATGGTAACGCTGCCCGAACCCCAATCCGGGGCGAAACGTCCAAAACTGACCACACCCAAAAACGACGCTTTCGCCATACTGCTATCTACCAAACCATAAAAGCTTTGGCTATTCTGAGGTGCTTATATGGTTCAGAGATGGTACTTTTGGGGATGGTCATTGATTGGTAAGTGTGAAATGCCTAACACTAATATTTCACAAGAAAATGGCCATGCAATAATCACAGTTAAACGTCAATTTGTGGCTTGCAACTTCAGATAAACAGCAGTGGACTTACATTACCTTTTTCTCTAAATCTTCTTGATAGAAACATAATTGGTACTTATTTAAATATATTATCACTGGTTTGGTGTAAAATAGTTAATATTTTCTGACCGAAATAATAATTTGAAATGTGCCTACCTCCTGCAAATAGACGTATTTGGCCAAGTTCTCCACTTTTCTCCGCTGTTTATCGGCGATCTCGTCGACATCCTACAAAAAATGTAAATCATCTCAGACATAATGGTATCAAGAACATTTTAAACAAGTTTCAACTTGGTTTCAAGTAGATCATACCTGTTTAACCATCGACAAGGTAAATCCACAACTTTGTCCAAATTCGGCGCCATTTTGTCATCCCATGTCGCTTGTTAACAATTCAGCCTTGTTACCTTCCATCCAAGCCATTTCCATTCCACTAATAATAAATTTAACCCTTTATAACAGGAGGAAACTAAAAAATCTAAACAAAATATAAGAAATACGCCATTTTATCACCATGTAAAATTTTGCTCACGAGTCTTTCAAAACGTTCCGTACAAATATCGCGTGACAAAGTAACAGGGACGTGACAGGAGGGGGTGAATTATTTCACGAAGATAGAAGAAGGCTGCGTGAAATAGACTAAAAGCTAAATACAATCATACAAATGTTTGTTTTATTTCTTGTAGCGACAAATATATACATATTATTATTTATTAATATGAAAAAGTCATACAAATTAAATGTTGATTGTTGGTTTTACCATACTGTGTGGGCTTTCCTTTCATTTCGCCGATAAACAGCGGAGTAAAGTGGAGAACTTGGCCAAATATGTCCATTTGCAGGAGGTAGGCACATTTCGAATTATTATTTCGGTCAGAAAATATTAACTATTTTACACCAAACCAGTGATAACATATTTAAATAAGTACCATTTATGTTTCTATCAAAAAGATTTAGGGAAAAAGGTAATGTAAGTCCACTGCTGTTTATCTGAATTTGCAAGCCACAAATTGACGTTTAACTATGATTATTGCATGGCCATTTTCTTGTGAAATATTAGTGCTTGGCATTTCACACTTACCAATGACCACCCCCAAAAGTACCATCTCTGAAACATATAAGCACCTCAGAATAGCCAAAGCTTTTATGGTTTGGTAGATAGCAGTATGGTGAAAGCGTCGTTTTTGGGTGTGGTCAGTTTCGGACGTTTCGCCCCGGATTGGGGTTCGGGCAGCATTACCATGTTGACCGTCATGGTCAACTTACCCTAAAACAGTTGAGATTATCTGTCCTAAATGAAATGCATACAAATTCATATACAGGTCCTAGACTATTATACAAAAGAGTCAGCCTCGTACCCAGGCTCTTTGATTGGCTTTGATGTTGCGCGACACACGCGCACAGGAGGACATGCGTGGGGGGAAGGGAAAATTCGGAGCGAAGCGCCTGGGAGAAAATGCATTTCAAGATGGCGGACAAATGAGTGATTTGCATTTTTGATCTTGACAATGATAGTGAAGATGGTCAGCATAAACAGGTAAACATTTTAAAATTCAAATTACTATTTTAGTATTTCATGGAATTCATGAAAAAATGTTGGGAATAAGTGGTAGACTTTATTTTTTAGAAAATAAGCCACAAATATTTATATGTGGTTGTAGATATAAAACCTTTTTGCATTTACTGTAACTTTATGCAATAATTACATCCCGAAAAATGGTTGCACAGTACAGGTATATGAAGAGATGAAACTATGATGTGCTAGTATATTAAATTGGGAATTAATGTAGTTCAATATGTTAGGTTAGCCCAAAGTAGTTTGGGCAATTGGCGACTTAGCGAGACAACCGATACACACCGATACAATGAGGCACATTTTTGGCATATAATTTTTGGGCAAGGAAGTGCTCGAAAAAATGGTCTAGAGGCTCTCGCAAACCTAAGTTTTATCTAGAGGAACATGCGGACCTCTAGATTGCAGAGGGAGTGACGCGGCTCTGTGCATGTTGTTCAGCGACATATGAGTCCTGATGGTCTGGGGACCACCATTGGTATACTGAGACAGTATGGGTACTCAAGACCTGACAGAGCATGCAAAAACTGTACGTTTTTCTAGAGGAACAGGTGAACCTCTAGATAACAGGGGAACAGGCGAACCCCCGTTCAGGTCAGTCAGCTCGTTGATGTTGAGTATTAGTTGAACTGGTGAACAACTGATGGTAACTCAACTGAAATGACTTACCCATCGAGTCTCTAGGTCAGGTCATTCTGGTCGCATTGCAACCTGACTGACCTGTAAAATACACTTCACGTGGCGAAGTGTTGTCCCAAAGGACAGCACTTCCCTGCCATTCTGCCACGGGAAGAGCAGTAAATGATGGTACAAATTGAACTGGGGGGAAAGGTGGCGTGCCAAAACACGGTGGATTCCTGTTTGCCTTAGTATTTTGGGGGCTTTGTTTTAAAGTTACCGTTGTTGTTGGAAGGTTTTGGTTTTTGGGTTTTTTGGGTTTTTTGTTGGGTTTTTTTTTTATAAATTAGGTCAAATAGATGTCCTTGAGTAAAAAGGCCGATATGGAGCCTTGACTCGGTGGGCAGGGGGATTCGCCAAATATGGGTGTTCACAAGACACAGTGCGAATAGTGTGGCAATGTGGAGTGCAGTCGTAATATAACATGATTTTGGGATGGGGAACCGTATCCACATAACGAAAATTAAGGCTATGCAATATAAGACCACAGCTCATATTAATATAACTATAAAACTTTAATGTTTTGTACTTGAGGTCAGTTTGTATGGAGTTTAAGTTTGAATCATGGATGCCGGGATGATGCAAGGCAGAGGAGAGGCCAAAGGCGCTAATTGTTTGAAGCGATCCCTCTGAAAACGAGAGACCGAATCAGCAATGCCATTGTCAAGACCGCGGACATGCTTGGCCGTAAACGTAAAGTTATTTTGCAGTGTGCAGAGAACTATTGGTCGTAGTAGATCCATTATCTTAGGACTTTTTGACGTCTTTTGGTTAAGGATTTGAACGACAGCTGTCCACTGGGCACCCCAGAGATGACAGGCAAGATAAATTGGGAAAAGCTCTTGCCAGACGATCGAAATACCGGTTGTTTTATTAATAGTTTGTTCAGGTAGCCAGCGGCCCTGAAACCATTGTCCTGCTAAGTAACCACCGAAGCCGATTGAACCCGTCGCATCCGTGTATAACTGAAGTGACGGGGAAGGTGTCTGCCCAGATTCGAGAAAAACGCTAATACCGTTCCAGTAGTTTAGAAAAACCTCCCACATAGCTAAGTCTTTATAGAAACCCAAATTTAATCTTACAAAATGGTAAGGCTGTTTTACGCCACATGTTAGGGAAATCATGCGCCGGAGAAACGTGCGACCTGGGGCTATGACCCGACATGCAAATTGGAGAATGCCAATAAGAGATTGAAGCTCCCTTAACTGACAGGACAACTGTTGTCGCCAGTTGTTCAGAAGGGTTCTGGCCTGGGTTAGTTTTTCGTGGGGCAAAAGGACAAGCATGTGAATAGAATCTAGGGTAATCCCGAGGAATTCTAAGGTCTGAGTTGGAGCGAAGGTTTTCCCAGGGCAATTGGAACATCCAATTCAGTGAACAGACACAGCAATTTAGATAATGAAGTCAGACATGAAGAGCGGGGAGCAGCTTCAGCTATGAAGAAATCGTCCAAAATATGGAGAACATTTGGAACACCTAATTTGTTTATAAGAATCCATTCGAGGGCATCCGAAAGCATATTGAAGATATAGGGTGCACTGCGAAGGCCAAATGGGAGGACACGGTCGAAAAAATAAAGTCCACGCCATTTCATGCCGAGAAGTTCCCAGTCATCAGGATGTACTGGGATATTACGGAAGGCAGATTGGACATCAGTTTTTGCCATGAAACAGTCCGGATCTAATTTTAGAAGGATTCTTATAGCGTCGTCGATTCGAACGTACTGCAAAGAATATTCTTCGGACGAAATGTTGGCGTTGACGCTAGTAGCGGACGATTTTGGATAAGATAGGTGAAAAATTGTTCTCCATTTGGATGAATTCTTTTTAGGGATGAGACCCAGAGGGTAGATTTGAAAATTTTGAAACGGAGACTGGTGAAGGGCCCAATTGTACCCTGAAGGACCCTGCTTTACCTCGTCTAATAAGTTGCCGTCAACTATTTCTGGCAACAGGTGAGCAGTTTTGAGATTTTTAGAAACATAAGGCTGATGGGGCCCCCGATAACCGATTTTAAAACCTCTCAAACCTAAACAGAGGCCAACAACAAAGTCGCGGTCTGGGTGGTCAATTAGCATGGACTCAAGTAGATTAACATTAATTGGTGTTACTGGTTTTAATCTGTCAACAAAATCTTTACTTGTGTTTTCTGCGTCGCAAAGTGTCCTCAGTTCGTGTAGCGCTGGGTTCAGCGTGTTCGTAGGAGGCATGCCGTCCGCCACAGTCTGGTTGGTTGCAGCGATGTTCGAAAGGACATGGATTGGCTGCGCAGGCGACTCCCCCGTTGAAATTGTGGCAGAAACCTCGTTGGTTGGAAAAACGAGGCCGATTACCGTCGAACCTTGATGAGGAAAGAGGGCATAGGTCAGAAATATGATCAGCGCTGCCACAGACAAAACAGACAGATCGCGCAAGACCGGTAAATTTATCCAGCCACAGCTGAAGATGGCGTTCACCCCAGTTTAGGGCTGGATTTTTCGCGGTGAGTTTTCGAAAAGCTATATCGTACGCATACCAAGCTAAACCTTTGAACTTTTGCAAGGCTTCTCGGATTATGCACTGGTTGGCAAACAACTGCGAGGCCTTATGAGGAAATTTTTCAACGACAACCGACGCGTAAATACCAAAAGCCGTAAGCCACTTGTCGAGACTATCAATTTTTGGGCGCTTGCCGAAATTAGAAAAATTCGGAATAGGTATCGAGAAACCCTGATCGCCCTCAACTGACATGCAAATAGGACCGAAACTGGGGCGGTCTGAATTACCCGGGAGAAGCAAAGAAAAATCAACAAACTCACCGTTTAAGATCTGGTCCTCGAGTTTCTTTGGCAAACTTGGAGTCTCCAGTGGCGAAGGTATGGAAGGCTTGTGGTGTTATCAAGGCAGCAACTTGGGCTGGATTGCCAAGGTCCAAGGATGGCGTTGGGGTGGTTTGCGCGGGAAAATTTACTGTGGGCGGTGGTTGATATGGCTGTGTTTGGGATACATTCTCGCGTGTCAGGGCGTCGCAAAGCAACGGTACGAGGTCAGACGCTAACGAGCGGAGAGATTCTGAGGAAAGTTGCGGAGTAGGATTATCAGGGGTGGCGTCAGAAGGTCTTGAAACTGGCAGGTTTTCGGTGTGATCGTGATCGGCAAGGCGTCGCAACAGAATATCATGCGAACCAGTAAGGGAGAGGTTTCACTGTGCCAATAAGAGCTGGAGAACTTCGGTGGACAGCGTGGTGTAGTTCGTCGCAGAACTGGTTGTTGGTTCCATGGCGCGGCAGTTTTCGGTCGACGTCGCGCCAGTGTTTCCTGCAGTAGTTTGTTCGTTTCGGCGTTGTTGATGAACACGAGTTGTACGACGTTTATTGCTTTCCTTTGGCATGTTCGTATATCTAGTCGTTATGGATTTTTGTTTTAATTTAGCCGAGGTTGTTACCCCTTTTAATTAATAAACTTTTATCAGTTCGACCAGCAATGTTAACGTAGTGGCTGTAGTCTTGCGAATGATCAAAATACGCATTGGTTGCAAGGAAAAAGCCTTGGAGAAAAGAGGGCCATTGTGCATGTGTACGTGAAGGAAAAACCCAGGAAAAAACCCTCGGCAGAATTACTGATTGTTTAGGTTGTAGGTTGCATCAGTTGTTCACATGCTAAGTTGCCAAAGTTCAATCCCTGTAGGCGTTTTATAAATATTAACATGCTAGGAAAAAGGGGAGCATTGTCCATTTGAGAGGTACCTGAGCCTTTCCGAGCTAAATTTAGTACCTGTGGAAATTGTGCTGATAGACTAGAAAGACTTCTAGGGATCTTCTTGGACATATTACTCCATTAACCCCAATTTATAGCCTTGCATAAATTGAATATTTAAAGTTTTACATATTTAGCCAAGGGTTTTGTTATGCATGAGCTTGTGGTGAACTCACTGAACTGTTGCAGGACAGAGCTCAGCTGCTAGGGGCAGCTGATATGAGAAGTGAGAAGGCATGTTTTATATCTAGGATTGTAGTTTATGTCCTCTCTGATAGTTTGTTACATGTATCTTTAAAAGGCCATAAGCTTGTTTGTTGAGTATCAAGTTATCAAAGGGGCAGTGTCACGGTTCTACTGCGCATCCAAAGTATGTGCGAACTTGTAAAACTGTCTGCCAACAATTAATCAAGTTAGGAGTGAAATACGATATACTATTTATAATCCCTTCATTATACAGGACATCCTTGCTTTGTTTTAAATATTGAACGCTGCTGCACCTTTTCCAATCATGTAGTTAATTTTAAACGTTTCTTTGCCCCGTTTATTTTAGCCAATCAGCGCTGTAACACTGCCCCTTTAAATTGTTTCTAGTTCTGCCATGTTTCTGGTGGCCCTTAGGTAATTAAGGGCTGTTAATGCGACAGCTAGCCCAGTAAGCGAGACCTCACTGTGTGGTAATTTTAATATTTTTATAGTGGAAATTCCTTTCAATTTGTATGGACAACGTGACTAGTAATACATCAGGGATGTTTGCATAATGTTCAGGTAAGAATAAGTTTATATTTTATTTATAATAAAGCAAATTATAGAGGAAATACCTCCACTCTTCATTTGTGAAATTCGAGCATGTGGTTCGATAATATATGCCGCGACAATATAAACGGAATTAGAATGCTGCTATAAATATATTTATAGCATTTATACTTCAACAAATGCTACTATAAAAGTCTTATATTTGAATCAGACTTATCCATGTTTATTAATATATTTGTATATCCCAAGTGCCAACTGTATATGCCAGATTAATTGTAAATTGTCAGGCATATTTAATGCATGCCTATAGAAAATTTAACTACTTGCTCAAATCAGAAGCAGTATTTATTCATATGTTTTGTTTAAATTAAACAATTTTCATTTTGAGAGGTCTTGCACCAGTCAATGTATTAAAATCTGTTAGCCTTTAGACATGCTTTAGTGTAATGCCAGGAAAATTATCCATGTTTTTCTATTAATTAAACCACAGTTTATAAACATACAGTAACTATGTGATGGTATTCAAATTAAGATGAATGTGCTCAACTTTCAGTACTTTTTTATTTTACCTTGTCTAACACCAGATCATTTTACTTGAAAGAGAGTGGACAACTTTGATAGGTTTTCCTTGCTGTCTCCCTGTGTTTTGTGTAAACTCATTAAGACCCAATTCACAAATTCACACTAATGTGCTCTATTTCAAAGCTCAATATTTTGCCCTGTTAATACCAGACTATTTTGCATTATTTGGCGTTAGCACATTTAGATGCAATTCACCCTAACACTCAATCCCCACTTTCAGTACTTTGATATTTATCAGATGATTTTACTCATCAAAATGAATGTTGGTCATTGAAAGGTTAATAATTAACTGCAAAAGCTGCTGTGTGGCATATTTAGAAGCAATGTGCCCTACTTTTAGTACTTTGTTATTTTACTGTGTTTATTCTATTAAAGTGCTAGACTCTCCACTTAGAGTAAAATAATAAATTGGGTGCATTTGGGCATATTTAATGGGTTAACAAAACACATTGGAATGGTAGACATAAAATAAATGTATTTGTCTTTTTACAGCTATCAACAAAGTATGGATGTAAGGCCTCAAGAGGTTCGTCAACATATGAGGACAAATATAAACAACACGGGAAAGTGTTGCAAAGTACAGAAAAGCAAACAAGAACAAGAACTTATTTGAGGACTATGTTTTGAGGCCAGTTTTAAACTTAACTTTAAATGTCAATTATGGTTATTACCTATGGTTTAGCCCATTAAGCGCCAGCGCTCTGACGAGTAAAATCATCTGGCGTTAGACAGAGTAAACTATAGTAAAATAATAAAGTAGGTGCATCAGGGCGCAATGTGATTCAATGGGTTAACTAGACACATATATAGGAATATAGGCTAGTTAACCCATTGGGAGCCAGCATTTCCCCTTGACATTCAAGTACAATTGTCTGGAGTTAGACAGAGTAAAATAGTCTGGCATTAGACAAAGTAAAATAGTTAGACAGAGTAAAATAATAAAGTAGGACGCATCATATGGCATTGCATTGAGGTAGAACGATTAATTTGTCACAATAGGTGAAAACTATAATTGATTTGTAACGTTTAGTATAACCAATTTCTCATATTAATTTTTATATTTGCAATATTAATTAGTATTTATTCATATTTATATCTATTTTTTGCATTAAAAAATTAAGAGTGATGAACAACATTGTCTGTCATTTACTATTATTTCATCTAGATTCTAGAATTTCTACAGGAATACCAAAAATCTTATAGGAAATTAGAATAAATTATTTTGTTAGGAAATTCCTATAATAATTTGGGACTAGACTTGAGAATTCTTATAGGAATTCTTCCTATTAAATTCTTATAGGAATTCCTGTAGAAAAAATTCCTATAGGAATTCCTATAGGAAAAATTCCTATAGTAAAAATTCCTATAAGAATTTGGGACAAAATTCCTATAGGAATTTTTCCTATAGGAATTCCTATAGGAAAAATTCCTATAGGAATTTTGTCCCAAATTCTTATAGGAATTTTTCCTATAGGAATTCCTATAGGAAATTTTCGTAAGACTGGCTCAGCAAGATCTCACTTGAACAAGCAACATCTCTGCAGTTATACCGGGAGGATATTTTGTGGCTATATAACACTAACCAGACTAACTTGGTTAAAATAAAGTCAAAACAACAAAATTGGTCATGACAATATTGTCAAAACAATAGAGATGCAGAAATTTCCAACAATGAGTCCATGCCACTGACATTGTTGCCGTTATTGAAACTGAGTACCAAACAACATGTTTAAAAATTAAAGATGCAAAATCTTGATTAATTTTGTATTATTTTAATTAAACTTGGTCAAAGAATAATTATCAAATTAATAATTATTAAACCAAACTGTACAATCAAGTTACATGTAATAGAGTATTATAACTTTGTAGCTCCATAGGCTATTCTTCCGCTGTTCCAGGTTTTGATCCACAAAGTTATAGAGAACTGTCGTTGTTAGTTCTGCCAATTAGCTACTCTTGTGATTTATAAGCCCTAGTTTGAAACCAACTTTAAAGCCTACAACAGTTATTTGCAGCTAACTATTAAGTTAACCCATTAGGCTGCCATGCATCCAAGCTTGTTATTTTACTTTCAGACCATCTAATGCCAGGCAATTTTACTTCTCAAGGGGACAGTCTTGTCAATCAATGCATTAATTGTGTTTCGTAACTCCCAAAGTTTCATTTTACATTACAATATATCACAACTGATCTAAGAGAGAAGGTTCACAAATGTCTAACTGGGCTCTACTCCAATGTCTAACTGGGCTCTACTGGGGACACCACCACTGAAGCTGCTCTCAAACATGTCATCAATCAATTTAAAATTGTTTAATTGTCAGGGCATAATTTTGGTCAATGCCAAGGTGGCTGGCACATGTACTGTACACCGTTCATTCCTACAAATACCTTTAGAACTACAACTCTAATGACTGTGGGATTTATAGAACTCTGACAAATTATGTTTGGCCAGATGAATATTGTAAACCTCTGAATATAAGTCTGAATATAAGCCCTGGGCTTATATTTGTTTGTACTTTGTAAGCATTTTTGAGGGGCTGAGCTGTTGGAATTCTGACCCTCGCTGCATTAATAAATACCTGTCGAGGGGCTTATATTCAGAATCGCCTGAGTAAATATGGATGGTGGGATTATACATAGGGGGGGGGTGGGTTATATTGGGGGGGGGGGGCGGTCTGATATGTTTATGGTAATTGCTTGATTGCAATGGGTATTGAATGGTTTGAATCTGATATCTTTGGCCTAGCAAAGCATTTTTTCACTTGTCTGTCATGAATTGACAGTAATTATAAATAACTGCTACAAAGAACCTGGCAAAGATATCACTCAAAATTTGTCAAGGAAAATTTACTAATACTAAATAAATAAAAGTGTACAGTATAAAGGATTTTGAAATCATATCCAGCCTTAAAACCCTACGAACATGTTGATCACTGATCAGAATGATTTTCATATAAATTGGTTTACATATAAATTGGTTTACATATAAATACTAAAATTATAGCAGTCAACAAGACAATAAATCATATTGGAATATATAAATATATAATGAGACAAATTCATACAAATTTACCTTCAAAAGAAATATTGTGAAGAGATTCACTGATCTTGTCCATGATTCCATCGTGAATAAAGCAAAATAATCAAGAAAATCGAACAATGGCTTTGAAAGTTCAGAAATCGACAGAAATTTCAGAAATTGACACGTTTTCTGCGAGGCGCTTCTGCGTCCTGTAGTCAGCAACGCACCTTGATTCCCGCGCATGCGTCACACAACCAGTTAGCACATCAAAGTGCCAGGGACGAGGCTGCAAAAGAGTAATTTTAACCCACAATCGCTACTCCTCATGTTACCATGACAACATGACGTCACCATCTATATGTGGCCTATATCAACCAAAAAAGCCACCTTAGCGGACAAATACAGATGGTGCACCACTTGCCTTTTTTATTGCAGAAAATACATTGTTATGAAGTTTTTAATCTTTTTGAAAGTTATTTGAAAATCGCCAGTGTAGTTTTCGAAAAACTGAATTTCAGCCTTTCCAATGGCTAAAACGCAATCTACACTGGCGATTTTCAAATAACTTTGAAAAAAATTCAAAACTTCATAACAATGTATTTTCTGCAATAAAAAAGGTAGGTCACCATGCTTATTTGTCCGCTAAAGTGTCTTTTTTGGTTGATATAGGCCATATAGATAGTGACGTCACATTGTCATGGTAATGTGGAGAGTAGCGATCGTGGGTTAACATTTCTCTTATATAAGAGGAAACAATGGCTTGTGCAAAAAATTAGTTTCAAATAGCATTTTAGATTCAAATAGCTTTTAGTTTAAAACACTGACATATATTGAAAACTGTAGGAAGCGTCCTTAAATCAGCAAATTCTCTCGAGCTATACCAAGTACTGAACTTTACAAGCAAGCCGAATGACGACACTGTTATTGTAACAGGTTTGTTACTCTTGCAGTAATGGGACAGGATACCAGAGTGGAACAAATACATTCCAAATGTTTTGGTAGCTTCATTTGCTCGTTTTGCCACAATTTGCAACTGATCTTCACCCATAGAGACAGAAAATATCCTTTTATCGCTTGATACCTTTGAATATTATAGTCAAAACATTAAAACATTCCATAAATACAGAATTCAGCAAAAATTGTTTTGCATATATATTTAAACATTAACATAATGATATGTTCAATTATTCATTATGTAAATGAGCCTAATATGTAAATGCATACCTGCTTACATCTCATGTCGAAGATCGTTTCAATCAATATTCTTGTTCATTACCATGCAACCATATTCGATGCATCACATTCAATCTTTTCCCCGACGTATTGAACATCTGGATGTCAGATACGAGAATGATGTTGAAGTCCGTGTTTTTTTATAAAAGGCTGTGATTCCCTTGCATAAATTATTTGGACAAGGCACTTTATTCTCTAAATTCGCAAAGTTGACTGGCCTGTTTGTAGTTTTGCAGAATGTCTGCCATTAAACTGTTCACCATCTTTAAAAGTTATCTCCCAGACATCTCTCCTCCTTTCCCGCCCTCCCTCGCACACTGCCTTTTTTCTTTTGCCGCCTTTTTCTCGCACACCGCCTTTTTTCTCGCGCACCGCCTTTTTTCTCACGCACCGCCTTTTTTCTCACGCACCACCTTTTTTCTCATGCACCGCCTTTTCCTCTTGGTAGCGAAATTATCTTCATAATTAATAATGAATTAAACGAAACAGCAAAATTATCTTCATAATTAATAATGAATTAAACAGGATTACATTAAAGACATGTCTGGGTATGAGGCAGGCCTATGATAGTTAGGGTGAGATGGTCCCACGAAAATCAGTCCATCGGTGTGCCATTCATCTGATCGGTCCATCCTTGATGGATGGCCAGATTGGTGAAACACCATGGGGCCAGAGTGACCTCTAAGGTAGCCCCAGAAAATCCTTCCATCGGTGCTATTCGTCCGATCAGTCCATCGGTGCCATTCGTCCAATCGGGCCATTTGTTACCGATAGTAAGATTGGTGAAACACCATGGGGCCAGAGTGACCTCTAAGGCAGCCTCCAGAAAATCCATCCATCGGTGCCATTCGTCCGATCGGTCCAACCGTGATGGATGGAAAGATTGGCGAAACACCATGGGGCCAGAGGCACCTGTCAGGTAAGCCCCCAAAAATCCGTCCATCAGTGCTATTTGTCCAATCGGTCCATCTGTGATGGATGGTCAGGTTGGTGAAAACAACAGTGGGCAGAGGCACCTGTAAGGTAGCTCCAAATTTTTGAAAATATGCTGTCTCTATAACATTGAAAATGGCCTTTACAGAGTCTTTACTACTGCAAAAAGGGCACTTTCTTTCCAGCAAGAGGGTGTTTTTCAGCAAATACTTTTTTCACTTTTAAAAAAGTGAGGGGGCACATGCCCCCATTGCCTTCACCGGTTCCACAGCCCCTGGTTTTAATGAACGAAGCAATAATATAGTTCATTATTACTATATTAAGGCAGTACTCTGAACGAATATGTACTGGTTATGTACGAATATGTGGAAATGCTATTAAACCATTATTATTTCATTTATTATCACGGCGGGCTAGTGCTGCCCGAAAAACGGTCAGATGGCCTTACGTGAGCCCGCATATATGTTGCTGCAGTTCATATTAAAAAACATGGTGTCGCTCATTGTGAAATTGCACGACGTGGTTAAGGACTATATTAAAAGTGCAAAGAATGTTGATATTGCTGGGAAAATTGGAGCAGAAGTTCTGCTATGTACAAGGAGGTTGTAAAGAAACATATGTGGGAAGGCGAAGATGCATGTGCATTCCACGTTGCTTTGCTTTATCCAATTGTAGCGAGGGAACTTACTCGATGGGACAAAATAGCAACTAGGAGAATGAAATCATCGACTCGATCTTCTCAGCCCTGGCAAATATGCTTCTCTCGAGATGTTCCAGTCGAGGAATACAAAGTTCTAAAGCTCACTATTTTAACAGGCAAATATGGTGTGGTCTTTAAAAGTACAAGGAATGTTGAATACCTTCACTTGTCAAGTAGAGAGGCTTTATGTTTATGGATTGGACACGTAATAAGTCGCAAAAACGGAGAAACACAGAAAAAACAGGATTTGTTCAAAAAGTTATTAAAGAATGGAGCATATTGCGAGGTTATTGCCAAGTCGTCATCAAATATTCAAGTTCAATGGAAACTGTTAAGGTTGTCATGTTTTATGGATGCTGGAACGCTTTTGGTGTTCCTCAACATATTTTCTAGCGCCACATCTGTGTTTATGTGTTATATGAAGTACTAAACAACATTCATTGTAGGCAATCCTTTATTTTACTGTTTTCATGTCATTGGACATGTTGAACTCAGTTCAGTCAGTATTTAATTTATAGTTGCTGTTGAGTTTGAATATATAACTAGTCAGTACAAAATGCATTTGTTTACATGCATGATCAATGCCCATAACTGGCACTATAACAATTTCTATGCAATTACATTCCCTAAAGTCAATTAATTGGAAGTGGAAGGTAACCTGCACATGTAAATATTCTTAAAATCTTGTTTTTGTTCCTCTATTCTGTCAAGGAGATTTTGAGCATAATCACTATTTAGGGAATGGGGGAGTCATGAAAGAGTGGTCCTATTAGTAATAATACTAAAATTTTGACTCACCTCACAGAAACTGCAAAAAAATAATGTCCTCCACCAGGTTGCAGAAGACGGTTACCATCAACACAAGCTATGCAGTATCCATAGTACATTTAGTAAAAATTCTAGACACAAGTTCTTTGCTTGTAGCATGTACCATTAATGTAGATATGATAATACCAATATATATATGTCAAATTTACAGTTCACATTAATTTTTTTAAAACGAGGCAATGTTTTTTTATGTCACATTGTTTCACTGCTTTGCTTGGCTTTTGTAAACAATGTTTTCATTCATGTGGTTTGGCAAAACATGATCTGCATTCTAAGTGGCGGACACTTCATGCAATGTTGGGGGTGCAAATGTAGGTTGTAATTGCATGCCACTTTACTTTAATTATCCTATCAAGGCCTAGCTGTTTTGTTGTAAAATCATGAATACAGGTTTGTCACACAGTCAGTCCGCTATCATACAAAGCTTTTGAGAAATTATTGGTAGGATGACCACCTCCATCCCTCTTCCCCATCACTCCCACATCGCTTCCATCATCCCCCGTATTTCTCAAATAGTATCCGAGTATGTCTAGGAATGGCATAACCAACAGTCCAAATAGTGGGTGTGATGTTATTAAAAAGCAGCATATTAGCATTATAAAAATACTGGCATGCTTTCTTACACCCGTCAATTCCTGCCTGATCTATGTTTACACGAGAGAAATAGGAGATGGCATCTCTCAATTGCAAACAACAGTATGCAATTGCTGCAAGCCAAAGTTTTGTTTCAGGACTATCAGAATCATTTCTGAGACAAGCTATAATAGGAAACATAAATTTGTGGCAAAAAATCTTTGTTTCTTTGCCAGTAAATCTGTAGGCAAATGACCTTTTGCGACCTTCACTGAACCATTTTTTGACCTTCTTAAATAATCTAGTAGTAGCCTTTAGTTGCTCTTTTAATGCTACCAAATACAAAAAAAAAACGGTGCATCATTTGGCAGACTGTCAACATCTATGAAATTTTCAGCAATTTTTTACTTACTCAATGCAATTTCCAAAATAAGCAAATTAATGCATATAACCCCAGGCATTATTTGCATTTTGCAACGGTTCTGCCATTCCATGATCAATAAGCTTACCAATTATGGGCTCACTTTCGTGTCTAGAACCCTGTTCCCTAATGTAATTCAAAACCTGGTTTCTTTTGGTTGCTTCGGAAACTTTCTTACTTTCTAACTTCCCTTTCTTAAGTGTAACTCTCTCTGCTACCTTAATTCTATCATTGTAAACCCATGGGTGCCAGGTACAACTGGCATCCTCTCCTAAAGAGCCGTTACTGGCCATTTTATTGTCATTATTGACATCCCCAAATGGTGAGAAATAATATGCTGCATTATTTAACTCTCCTCCCATGAAAGATAGCCACTTCATATCACTTGGAAGGTCTACAGTGAATTTTATATCAAAGCCTTTTATTTTGTAAGTCTGCTTTTCAATGTAGGTAATATCAGAAACAAGTTTCCTAGCGTATCTCTGCATGCTTATATGTGTCTCAGAACAATTTGCTCCACACAAAAGAAAATTGTCATTTTGGCTTTGCACATGCTTGCCAACATTTAAAAATGATATAAGCCATGCTGTGGCTTCGTCATCTTTGCCGAAAGGTGCCCCATCTGCACCAAGGGCAATTCTGAAATGATAAGGGGTACTTCCAAAATGGTGCAAAAATGGTGTGAGCAACGTCTGATCAACAACAATATATAACTCAGCTAAAACTACAAGAAAGTTGCCTAACTCTCTGTAGGAACCTGGAACTTGTTCCTCAAGTTTGTCATATTCTTGACAAAATTCAGCTGAAAAATCCCTGATATTGTCCACATTATTTGCTGACTTTATAAAGGCTATGATATTATCATAATATAGCAGCTTGGGATTAAATACATTGCTAGAATTTGGTACAGTGGCTAAAATATTTCTACATACAGACTTGTACTTTTGTTTCGTCAAAAGACCTCCCTCATACAGAATTTTGAGGCTACGGCAAATGTTATCATTACCACTTTGATACAGTTCTGTCTCCGATTTTACTATCGAAGGCATAATCTTTTTATTCACTTTTTCAGAATTTGAAAGAAAATCTTTAAGTGTATCAGTTGAAGATTTGTTTACCAATGTTACCCACATTCCAGCAAGGGCTGATGACTTTTTACCTTTCTGATCACCATGTATTTCTTTGCATGCATTCAAAGTTTCCTTCTGTCTTCTTCGACTTGACGTCTCAGATAAGGAGGCTTGAAAGGTATCTGAATTCTCTACATTTGCCTCTGAGGGAGTATTTGGTCGGAATATCATGGATGGTAACCTTGTTCCAGTTTCGTCATCATTCTCAAGTAGTGATGTAAGCTTTTCTTTATGACGCTTAAGCTGTAACAGTTAGTATCATTTAGTACCATATATAGGAATGCAAAGTAGTAACTTATTTAGTTGTCCTGTGTCTGCAAAGATGCACTGAATAGACCGGGCCTGATATCTTCACTAAATAGTGAGACAATCTTATTACAACTTTCAGGCAGGGTGGGTGTGACCTATCAGGTATAAAGTGATATTGCCTTTGATTAGAAACCAGATAAAGCCTAAGAGTCTCCCTTTGATAACATTAGATATGATAATATGGCATTAAATATAGTAGGGCATAGTTCTGTTTTAATAATGGTAACAACTAACAAATAACAAGACATGCCATGGGGGATATTAATAATTCTGCTTGGGGTGCATTTAAACCCATTATTCCCAAAGGACTATCGTCTATCTTGGCTAACATAGTCCAGTAAATGTAGGAGTAAAATACTTAATGAATAGTAATAAATACTAAATAAAAATTCATGTGCTTCTTGGGTTTGTGCAAATGTCATATATAGACGCCTTGACATTTAATTATAAATACACTACATTTGTTTACTACATACCCTTTTTGTTGTTCTCTCTATATCTTTATCCACTTGTTTTAGGTCATTTCTTAACTGAACAATCGTAGCATTTTTTGCAACACAATCTTCTCTCAACTTTTTTCGTTCTTGAGCCAATTCACCAAGAGGAAACCGATCTTTCGTGGCAGATTTTTTAAAACTCATCAGTCTCCCAATTTGTTTCCACAAAGTTCTCATTACAAAAACATGTTTTAAAGCAGAAAGTCCTTGATTATCAATAACATAGCCATACTTAAAATTTCTATGGTTTTGAAATTCTTAAAAGTCTCATGATCACTGCAGTAAAGCTTTGAAATGGGTTCAAAATCTTACACCATTTGCCCTGTAATGGCAGTTACTTCTTTGCAAAACCACAGTATAATTATGCACCAGGTGGAGAAGGGAGGAATGATCCCCCGACGGAGAAATTTATGAGACCACATGGATTTGGTCAATTTGGGGGCGCTGAGTTCGAAAATCGATGGTATACAGGCTTTGAGCGGGGCCTTCAGCCTTGTTTTCGTGATTGAAGCCTCCTTGTTTTGGTGCAAAACCGATATCTGCTCGATTGAAGCAAAAAATAATGGAGAATTTGTTCAATCTGGCCACCCTTGTCAAGTTTTGGGCGTTGAGGTGAACAAATAATTATATTCAGAGGGTAAATGTGCCCTCCAGTCTCATTTTCACTTTAAAGCCTCGTTTTCACACTACAAACCCTCGTTTTCACTATTTAAATTTTTAATATTTCAATTACGTTAAATGCAGTCGTTCTACTGTAAAAAGCCAAAGATGCTTGGTATCTTAAAGAGAACTTGTCCCCTGATTAGAGATACTAAAGTTAGGCGAACACTATACCTGACTTTGGTAAAATCAAAGCTGTGCTACGCAACGGAGGTGTGGTCCCCAGCTAATGTGAAGTTACAAGTTGCATTAGAAAGAGTTCAAAGGCGCGCTACACGTTGGATCCTCAAAAGTAAAGTTGGAGAAATGTCTTATGAAGATAGACTGAAGACTCTCAATTTATTGCCACTAACTTACGATCGAGAAATCAGAGATCTTGTTCTGGTCTATAAATGTATTTTCGGCCACACTGATTTGAACATTTTGTGTCATTTATACATCATAATCGAACTCGGACTCAGAATCCATCTCTAATGTTAAAATCTCCTTACTGTAGAACATCCACTTTCCAAGGATCGTTCTTTAACCGAATAGTTAAAACTTGGAATAATGTTGGAAAAATAGCCTCTCCTGAAAAGTTCGCCAGTTTAACAATTTTTAAATGCTTTCTGCATGTGACATACACCGCACTGGTCAACAGTACTTTTAATGTTGACATGGCATGCACTTGGTCGCTCACAAGAGACTGTCCCTGCCACCGTTCTTAATATGCATGTTATGTAATATATATTTGTATATGGTGAATTAGGTTGGGGTTTTTTTCCCTTTTTTTGGAGGGGGTGCGCCTAGCATGGGTCTCGTTGTCCCGTTTGCGCTATCCCCTTTGGACTTAAACTTGTAAATGTTTCTACTATATTTGTCCAATAAAGCTGATAAATAAATAAATAAATAAATAAATTTACGGCCAACAATAAAATGAAAACATTTTCGCACGTTCTTTATGTTTATATTGTGACGTTTATCGTTAGAAAGGAATACACTTGAACTGTGCATATAGAACAACAGTGGTGTAAAACGTGCAACCATTGTTGGCATAACTGTCATGTTTTGTTGCGTGAAACAAGCAACTAAGCCGTTTATGTTTACATCTCCGTAGAGGTTTTTAGCCCTTCCACTGTGATGACATTTAGATGTAATTACTAAAATTTAACTTAAATCTTGCTATAATAGCACATCGGTCAATTTTTGCAGTTTGGAAAAATGTTTCAAATTCATGATTTTCTTGCTTTAATTTACTGTTTTGGGTAAAAAAAAATACAGCAAGCTCATAGCAAAGCAACACTGATGACATACTTGCCTCCTATTTCTTCCCCAATAACTGGATACTCCACCATCATAGAAATGTTCCATCAATCTAGACAGCTAACGAAGCAATCCAACATGTCCTACACTCACATCACTCTCGACGTGGGAGCTGCAATCAAGGCTTTTCATGTGGTTTGGAACAATCCAGGTGCATGGTCCGACATTATAATTCATCTAGGGGATTTTCATGCAATAATGGCCTTTTTTGCGGTTATTGGGCATTTCGTCGAGGGTAGTGGATTCAAATATGTGTTATTTCAAGCGGGTCTGTGTAGCTCTGGAAGCATTACCGGAGTGATGAGTGGAAAGCACTACAATCGATGTTGGCTTCTTCACAAAACTTTTTCCGAAGCATTGGAAAGGTTCTTTATAGAACAATATTTACCAACCATGCCAGAGAAAGTTGAGGAGTTCGCCCAAAGTGACACAGCCCAAGAAACAAGTTTAACGAACATTCTTAACGATGACACTGTTAAAGAATATGTTAAGCAGTGCCAAACACAGAAAACCAAATGTTTGAACGGAGAATTTGGAAAAACACCCCCCAGTACTGGGAAAAATATATGGAGCTAATTGATCAGCAGCAGAAATTGCACTTTTCCATCAATACCAATGATTATGATCTGAGAATGCTCATTGGAAAAAATCTTTGCCTTTGTGCTTCGCTACCAATCGGTTCATTATGTTCGCTATTGCATGCACATATTATGTTGGTGGCTTAGAATGTATCTACAGTACTCACCCAGGAGCAAGACAGGAGATCGAAGATCTTGCATGGTTTGTCCGTGCGGAGAAGTCAACTTGGCATAGGTCAAGCAATCAACATGGCAGGTGAACAAAGTTACATGAGAAGTGCAAAGACTGCGGGTAATCTTATATTTATGAATTAAAACATCTGTTGTATTAATGCGATCTTCTTAAACAATCTTTCCTTGCATATGATGATGCCATAGTTATATACTTCAGATGTATTGCCATTCTCTTTGTTTTTCAGGTGGAGTCACACAGTTTGCTGCAAAAGAAAATACTGTTGCAAAGTGGGTCATGAATAGACCATATCAAACCAAGTATGTCGAATCGTTACTGAACCTATCAGGAATGTCCACTACAACGTCAAATCCACGAAAATTCTACGAAGCAGTGAAATTCTAAAGTCGAATAAGATGGTGGGAAAAAATAATGGTCATATTGCAGACACGATTCATCAATCCTTTCCAACCTGATCTTGACAAGGATGAGTTGTTCAACTTAGTATCGGGGTATCCAGGTATCGATATCCTAGTTCTGTTCATGGCACATGATTTTGGTGCCGCTAAAGTACTAATCGACAACGGAACAGGGAAAGCTGGGAAACTTATGGATGTGACGTCGTCAACACTGGATCTTGAGAAAAGGAAAGCTCTCGTCAGTTTACACGCTTTTTCCGTTGATGACTACTTTTCCAGTTTCTTCAGAAAAGGAAAGAAAGCTTTCTGGAAAACAATGCTGAAATGCCAAGAATATATCGGTCTGTTTGCTGAGCTAGGCAACAGTCCTCAGGTTCCTGATCATATTTCACAAGGCTTAGAATTGTTTGTTTGCACATTATATGGAAGCCATGCATACTATGTCATCAATCAACATAAGACCTTGCAAAGGTTTGAAAGAAAGTAATCGACATAAGCCTCTTGCCACCTTGTGAAACCAATTTCAAGCTTCATATCATCCGTGCAAACTATGTTCCATCGATTTTCAGGAAAGCTAACCACTTGATCCTCGATCTGAATGAACTTACAAATCATGGCTGAGATGAAAAAGGGAAAGTTATCTGGATCAGTGTTTGTTTCCCTGACGATGTTAGCGAATTGTTAATTGGCATGGCTGGAAGTAGAAAATTAAGATGAGCTTGATTTCGTGCAAAACATTGATCTGGAAGACGACTTTGACAAATAAATAAATACATAAAGTAAAGATACGTTTCGGGGCACAGCCCCTTTGTCAGAAACGATATAAGTTCAAATCCATGGCCTTAAATACTTTCGGCCCAATCCTAATTAACATACACTAATAATATATATAGACTTGCATTAATATTCCTCCCTAAAATTTTTCGGGGAGGGACATTCGAGTTTAAGTGATTTTATGGTTCGAATTATTGACACAACTGATGTAAAAAATCCAACGGATGAAACGGAAAGTTATTGGATAGAAAATATTAATTGTTATTGTCCATTGGGGTTAAAATGTCGAGCAGAGAGCATTATAAAAACTGTGGACAAAGCTTATAATGACATTAACTCGCTATCTTCTCTGCCACAGTGCCACTGTTGAAGTTTGAATTTAGAACCCCAAATTTGCTAGAGTGTGTACGTTGCTCTTATTCATCAGTCAAATTTGTCCATATCTTAGTTTATTTCAATCATGCGCAGAGCGCTATTTTTCACCAAAACGAGGCTTTAAATCTTGAAAATGAGGCGGAATACCTAGTTAATTGTCGTAATACAATTAAATTTTCGACTCAGTGCCCAAAACCTGACATAGGTGGCCTGATTGAACAAATTCTCCATTGCTTTTTGCTTCAATTGGGCAGATATCAGTTTTGCATCAATACGAGGCTTTAATCGCGAAAACGAGGCTGAAGGCCCCGCCCAAAGCCTGTATACCATCGATTTTTGAACTCAGCGCCCTCAAATTGCCCAAATCCACTTGGTCTCATAAATTTCCCCGTCGGGGGACCATTCCCCCCTTCTCCGCCTGGTCTATTAGGGATAAAAGGGATTGGCCTCATAAACAAACCCTCAAAAACAAAGAGTGACCCTAGGTAGTCCTGAAAATCTCATTTATTCCTATAATGTACTTAGTGTATCCACTGTATATTTCAAGCAAATAAATTAGCATGATATTTTAGACTAGACAGTTCTGGGCGCCAACTTGATTTTTTTTGCCGGACAGGCAAAAGGTTGCAATCGTGGCATTTACTGCCCGCTGTGTATTATTTGGTTTGTGGTTATTTAGTTCGCCCAATTTTTCTAAAGAATGAAGTAATAATATATACAACAAAAAAAACACAATCCAACTTTTGGTTAACATGCCATTGTGTGTTAATTAATTTAATACTCGGTATATGAACGTAATGTGGCTGTTGAGTATTGAATGACATGTGTATCATCCATTATAGAATACAATTTAGCAAATATATGAGTCCGATAAATATTCTTTGTCGAAATCGCATATTTTCACCGCTGCACCTAATTAGAATCACTAATTCACTGCATTTGAAATGGCGTAGCTGATGTAACCGTTTAATTAACTTTCAAATGATGCTATCCATCAGATCACAGCACTGTTGGTATATAAAAAGGGGCATGTGAATTAAACAACTCACATAATATTAGCACCTGATGAAGATCCGGTCTTACGGCTCCCCGCCTATGCACTCTCTGCTTACGGATCAAAAGCTTTGCAGCAATAAATTTACATGGTGTTTCCACAAACAAAAAGTATTATAGGTTATATACTGTTTGACAAGTATAGTTATTTCTTTTGTGCAATTGTTTTGAAGAACAAAGCAATAATATATGGATGATTATATAGAGGCAGTACTCTGAAGGTTATGTACTGTTTGTAGCTATTTAGTTTGCGGCGTTTGTCCGATGTTTTTGAAGAACAAAGCAATATTAAATATATGAATGATTATAGAGAGGCTGCATGATGGTTATTTATACAGTTTGTAGTTATTTAGTTCGCACAATGTTTTTATAGAACGAAGCAATGATATGTGAATGATTATATAGAGGCAGTACTCTGAAGGTTTTATACCAAGCAATATATAATATGAATGATTAGGCTATACACACGCATCCTGAACTTCTATTTACAGACCGCACAAATTTCTGGAAGCAATAATATGAGTGATTATAGAGGCAGTACTCTGAAGGTCATACTGTTTGTAGTTATTTAATTTGCAAAATGTTTTTAAAGAATGAAGCAATAATGATTATAGAAGCAGTACTCTGAGTGTTCATGTACTTTTTAGCTACTTGGCACAATAATATGAATTTAATACTATATACATTCAGTGCTCCGAACGTTATGTACAGTGGTTTGTAGTTATTTAGTTTGTGCAATGTTTTTAAAGAACAATTAACAAAGCAATGATATATGAATAATTATAGAGGCAGTACTCTGAATGTTTTTTGTTTGAATTAGTTATTTAATATAGCCTATATGAAAGATTATATGCATCCTCAGCTTCTATTTACGGACTGTACAATAACAAAGACAGGGTTTTACCATATAGAACAAGACATTGCATAGTACGAGTATGTGTTTGTCCCTGAGCCGGCGGCGCGAAGCGCCGTGTGAGGGTACTAATTCCCCCCAGCTATTTACATCCAGGGAAAGGAACACACTAGCGAAGTCTAAAGTTCATCAAGTATTGTGGGCGCATGGCTCACCATTCATGGATGGTCATCCTCACTGATCTCAAAATATGTAGCGGACTGTCGTGAATAGTGAACACTGATTGGTCAAATTTGAAATTTGCATTGTAACCACTGCATTGATGACAGCAAAATAACAATCATTTCTTGCAAGTTGTATTTTTGCAAGATTTTGTAAATTTCAAAACCTTTCTGAGAGCCAAAAAACGTCTAAAAACGTCAAAAGGATAGAGCAAAGTCGCCGACATTAATGAAGGTAAATTTGTTTTAAATATTGATGTATTGTTTGTTTTATAATTGATATATTTATAACTGATAGTGGTGGGCGATACTGCGAATATCGAACTGATACTATCGTTGCGTATGTACAGACTATATAAAATTAACAAAGACAGCATATAATTTCAGTGTAGTTTTATTAATTACCCTTTCTTTTGTATATTAAAGTATTTAAACAAAGAGGAAACCGAAGTTATATTTTCATGCGAGAATTTGAAATCAGTTTATTTCAAACTCAATGTTTACCGATAGGCGATAATTCGATAAAAGGCTGTTTAGTTTTAAGAAGATTTTAAAACGTTTTGGGAAGCGTTTGTGGTTGATTTTACATTAAATCGAAGCTTATGTTACGTATAATAACATACCTGGAATATATATGTTTGGGAAATTGATAGTTTTGTTATTAAAAGTGATATTTTGGGGGGATTTTTCAATTTTAAAACTATATTCTTAAAATTATCGTGTTACCATGACAACTACTTTCAATTCTTCATATTCAGAAAACATAATGTTTTGTCATTAAGGCGAGAGTTTCTGCATGCATGTATTTTCTAGTATTAAAATGCAGTTGATCTGTTGATGTTTACTAACCAAGATTTCAGGACAGGGTTTTACCGTAGAGCAAGGTATATTTTCCCGCGTATCAGGTATGTTGCTAAATAGTAAAAATTTATATGTTGTTGTAGTATTTTCTAATACATTTCACAGCATTTCCATTTCCAGTCTCTCTGTCGAAATACCCCAGTGATAGAATGGGAAAGGATTTCATGTAGCTAAGTAGCTTTGAAATTTCAGATTAAAAGTAGCTTAACAACCAGACGCAAGGATGCAACCTCGTTCCCAAGGTCTCTCCTTCTGTCATCTGGGAGAGGCCCTGGCTGTGGCAGGTCATGTGCCTCCCAGATTCTGGGAGGTAAATTAAAACTCTACTATGGGTAGGGTGGGAGAGGAGCGTGTTTGTACAATTATAAAATTGCAACTTTGGGTGATGAAATTTACTGTAAATTTGCAACAAGAATCGTGAAGAGAACTCTTAATTCTATCTTGTCATCAGTCAATCTTGGAACGAAGGAGTCACATGAGATGTGCATGCGCATTTGCTGGTCAGTTTTCAATGAGAGTAGTGCATGAGAAAAAGGAACGAAGGATCCAGGAGGGGTGGGATCATACAGACATGTGACCCATTCATTCCAGTTAGATGACAAGATAGAATTCCAATCAAACTTCAACTTACAGGTAAGTTTCGTCATCAATTCCAGCTGACATTAACACTTTCTTTACCCACCTGAATGGGGTTTCTTTTGTCACAGGTTTAAATGGCTTGACATAGCTATACAACAATTGGGTATAAACTTGTTCTTTTTAAATATTCCTGAAGATGGAGTTTTTCCTCAGGAAAATCCAGATGTTCCAATGGTTTTAAATGTTTTCCTGGTCTAGTTTGTTTTAACTTTTCCTGGATTGTAATCCTGTATCCATTCGGTAATTCTTGTATGAAGTGTATAGCCACTGTATGAATTGTTTGCCCTCTTTGTCCGGTGGTAAGGAAAAGCAGTGTATTGAGTTTCATTGTGAGGTCCTTTATTGTCAGTAATGTTGCCTCTGCAAATGTCTCTAAGTAAGTTAATACAACAGTCATATCCCATATATGGGTGTACCTTGGTAATGCCGGTGTCCCAGGAAATTTCCCCCCCCCCGAAATTTGGCCCCCCTGGAGGCCAAATTTATTTCCTAGGAAATTTGCCCCCCGGAAATTTGCCCCCCTCGAAAACATAGTTTACTTTTTCGCTATAAACTCGGAAATCGTGAAGTTTCTTCTAAAACCAAGATCCTAAAAGTGTTTGTCAGTATTTATAGTTAGTTTGCATAATTTATTTGTGTCGAAATTCGTCATTGCGGCCAAGAGCTAAAAGTTTGGAGGAAAGCGTAAAAATAATAATGTGCTAGTGCAGT